GAATATTCTGAAGGTAGCATACAGAGAATGAAAAGATAAAGAGGGAGGGGAAAATAGAATCCCTTTCCAGTTTAGAAGTCTCTCTCTCTCTCTCTTTTTTTATTCTTTTTTAATTTCAGATTGATATGAGGGTACAGATGCTTAGGGTACATTATTTTTGTTGAGCCCTTTACCCAGGTGGTATGCTGGATACACAACCTTACATTGGGCACATTAGGTGAGAACTTGCCAATCTCCCTCCCTCCTCCCCTTAGCACTTTCCCTCCTCCCTCTTCCCCTCACTGGAATATACTTGCAATTTTTTTTATTTAATTCCTGTGGGGTGTAGTTGTTTATATATAGGTTTCATATTTGTATTTCGTACATTAGATACTTGCTTTCCCATTCTTGTGATACTTTACTAAGAAGAATGTACTTCAACTCCATCCAGGTAAATAAAAAAGATGTAAAGTCTAATAGAGACAAGGTCTTGCTTTGTTACCTAAACTGGAGGGCAGTGGCTTGATCATAACTCACTACAGCCTTGACCTCTTAGGTTTAAAGGGATCCTCCTGCCTCAGCCTCCCTAGGCCTACAGCTGTGATGAGGTCTCACTACATTGCCCAAGCTCGTCTTAAACTCCTAGACTCAAGTGATCCTCCTGCCTCCTAAAACACCAGGTTTACAGGCATGAGCTACCACCCCAAATAAGAATTTAGAAATCTCTTAATAAGTTACATTGATTGAACTTTTTTCACTTTTACTATAGCAAATCAGTGAGAAAGAACAAAAAGACTACTATTTGAATTAAATATTTCAAATATATAAAATAACAGAACATTATATTATAGGCAACAAAAACTTGCTCTTAAATGTTTTCAACTAGTATTTAAAATGCTTAACAATCAGTTATATAGCAAATGTTTCTAAATAAACTTTAATATCTATAAAAAACTTTTTCTGTTAAAAACAGATTTCAAGGTCTTATCCCTTGTGACCTGGCACCTTTCCCAGCCACTTCACTGACCTAATTATTTGCCTCTTCTTAGAATTTACCCTGCAGCCTAGGCGATCTCTCTGTAGCATCTGACACCAATGAAAAAGTTTTCTAGTGAAGAGTTGAGTCCTTTAAACCACACTGCCAGAACCTGAGTCCTAACTCTACCCAAGCTAACACCTTTGTTAGCTAACACCACGGCTAAATTGTTTAAATTTAGATCTTAATTTCATTATCTATAAAATACAGATCATAAGAATACAAGAATACTTAATTCAAATTTCTCACCAGAATATACAACACACTGAGAACAGTGCCGGGTGCATATTAAGAGCTCGAGTAAATAAGGTACCAAAAACTCGATATGAGAACTAAATATAAGACACATCAAGGTGCCAAAAAAAATCAGAATGAATAAAGATCCTTGCTCTCATGGAGCTTATGTGGGGAGGAGAAAGTAGATAATAAATTAAGATATTAAAAGGTGAAAAAGTGCTAAGAAAAATAAAACTAGGAAGGATCGAAGAGTTGAGAGGAGTTGCAGTTCTAGACAAAGTGACCAAGAATAGCTTTACTGAGAAGGTGGCATTTCAGCAAGGCCTAAAAGATTTAGGGAAATAAGTTACATACTACCTGGAAAAGAATATTTCCAACAGAGAAAATAGCAAGTACCAAAGCCCTAAAACTGGACAGTGCCTGGCTTGTGTGAGACTGGAACAGATGGAGGGGAAGAGCTGTATGGGGTTGACATGATTTGCTATTAGTTTGGCTATGAGGCACTGTTTGTTTGGATGTGAAGTGTGGAAAAAAAAATAGTCAAGAATAACTCCAAAGTTTTTGGTCTGAGCAGTGTAAACAACAGAGCTGCCTGAAATGGAGCAGTTTGGGGGTTTGGAAAAAGACCATATGCTCATATTAGACACAGACATTAAAATGGAGCTGTCAGGTAAATAGATGTTTTGAGAGTCGTCTACACTGGACATACAAATTTGAGTCATCAGCTAATGAACAGAATTTAATGCCATGTGGCTGAGAACGATGATGCCGGAAAAGAGGACTGAGCCTAGAAAAGTCCCAATATTCAGAGATTGGGGAGATAAGAAGCCAGAAAAAGAAGTGAAGTAAGAACCAAAGAGGTAAGACGAAAACAAGGAGAAACACTTCTCTTGAAAGTGTTTCAAGAAATGATTGTGAGTTGATGGATTAAAATCAACAAGTCCTATTACGTATTTATTGCATCCCTATTTCTATTACAAATTACTTCCTCTACCCCGGTAAACCATTCTCTATATAAAAGCAACAACATCTTTTAAAAATACAAATTATGTGAATACCCTATTAATTTTCATTGTATTCCATGGCATCCTGAATGAAATTTAAACTCCTTACTTCGGCACACAGAGCCTTGATGATCTGGTGCTTACCTTTCTGACTTCATTCCTCTGTTATTACCCCTTTCATTAGTTTTCTATCTATACAAGCATTCATTTTGTTCTTAAAAATTATTAGTCTCACTCGTTGCTCTGGCACCTCATCTCCTATACTCAGAATACACTCGCTTACTCTTCAGCTGCTTGGCTTCTTAATATTAAGTCTCATAACTAAATTTCCTTATAGAAACCTTCCCTAATTGTTCTATCAAGATCCAGAATTATCTCATTTATCATTTTAATTATACATTATCCATCTCCTGCTAAACTATAAATTGCTCAAGGACAGGGATTGTTAAATACATAGTACAAGATTTAAAACTTTGCATATAGTAGGCCTCAATAATTATCTGACAAAATGCTAGTCCTTCAATTCAAAGGATACCAGTTCAACATTTTACCTGATGCAGGTATCATTTCTATAACATACTTGACTGGGTCATCATTCAAGTACATCTTGAATATCTTCAGTGACAGCAAACTCATCACCTTAGGAAGCAGTTATCTCCTTTGGGGACGGCTCTACTTATTCCAACAGTCTTCTTTATACTGAACCAAGCCTCTCACATACATTCCACCCACTGCCTTGTAAAGTCAAGTAAGTCTAATCCCTCGTGTATATAGAAGGTCATATACATTTTAGACGGTAGTTGCATATATTCCCTACACATTCTCTTTTATAGAACAAATATTTCCAATTTTTTCAATGCGTATGTTTTTTCAATCTCATTCTTTCCATGCTAGTTTAGGAAATTCCTAATTTATAAATTTCCTTCTCCAAATAACATGCTTAGAAATTCACATAGTCCCTATCCCACAACTTGCTCAAAATAGCATAGTATAGGTGGAACAAATATCTTTCTTAGTTTATCTAGACAACATATCATACTATTATTCATAAAACCAAGATTATTCATTCTGATAGTTCTGATAGAAACTTGATAATTAACTAAAATCTCTAATACTTTCGTAACCACTATTGTGAACGCAAGACTCTTCCAACTTTGTAGATGTGAAGATGTTTTCTATATAGCTAGGTTAAATATTTTAAATCTATTCCTGTTGAATGTATTTTTGTAACTTAAGAGTTCCATACTATTGTAATCTTTGAATCCTTTCTTTCTCCTCACACATATCAAATATCTTTCCAAATTTTATACCATTACATTATTTGCTAAGTATACCTTCAAAGACAATATCCAAATCATTAATAAAGACATTTCCATAAACATGTCAAACACAGTCTCAGTCTGGGTGCAGTGGCTCACACCTATAATCCTAACATTTTGGGAGGTTAAGGCGGGTGTAGCCCTTGAGCTCAGTAGTTCAAGACCAGATTGAGCAAGAGCGAGACCCCATCTCTACTAAAAATAGAAAAACTAGCCACGTATGGAGGAGGTGCCTGTAATTACAGCTCCTTGGGAGGCTAAGGCAGGATGATTGTTCAAGCCTAGGAGTTTGAGGTTGCTGTAAGCGATGATGGCACAGCACTCTACCCAGGGCAACAGAGTGAGACTCTCAAAAAAACAAAAACAAAAAAGAACACTGAATTCTATAACATAACAGCATCACATCAGAGACATTTTTCTCTGGTTCATACTAATATGTATGGTTGAAATGAGTATTTATACTCCTAAACAGCTTCTCCTTGTCTTCAAAAATGTCCTGAAAGACATATCTATAGTCCAGATGCCCTGTGAAAATAAGTGTTTTAATTGCTTTTTATTCCCTTCATTTTATATATAAACCATTATATATAAATTATATACATCAATTTGATTCTTATGGTTACCCACACAGAATGTGATGTCAATATTATCAGTACTCCCAAAATAAGATAAATATATTACTATGTTTATAAAAATATCACTTAACATAAGTTGACATAAATTTTTTTCTGAAATAGCCTAGTTATCTTTTCAAAAGAATGTTAAGGAATGAGTAATTGCATACTCAAACCAAGAATATGTTTTTATATATGCAATGAATAAGGCCACAAAGCTGTATCAAATAATATGCTAATCAATCCAAAGGCCTCAGAAAATGTAAGTTCAGTATTATTTTTATCACTTAAAGTTCTCATATGGAACTGTCCTATTATTACAATGCTTTTAACTGACTTCTAAATATTTAGCAACATGAGTATATTTTTAACATTACATAGACCAAATTAGGTAGAGACAGTATCTTTTGTAATAAGAACACTTTGGAGTCTAAAGATTAATCCTAAATGTTGAAGGTATGGTCAATAGCACCTTTATAAAAAAGAAAAAAATTCTATCCTGTGACAATTGTCATGACACTAAAGAACGTATTTTGGGCAATCACATCTCCCTAATGCTTTCTAGCTCTGCCCTCAACTAAATGGCACTCATAGCAGCCCCACATTATGCAAAGTAATTTATAAATTATTTTTCTTCCTTTTCCTATTTCAATGACTTTCATAAGAAAATTCTTATTGATTTTTCTAATTTTTAACATCTTTGTAGAAAACTAGGAGAATTTTTGCTGGGACATAGTTATGTGACAGCAAGTGCTACTGTGGAAAAATGCCAAATTTTTCTTTATTCAATATAATAATTTTTGCTTTTTAGGAAGAAAGAGAAGATGAAAGACCGCCTTCAAGAACTAAAGCAGAGAACAAAGGAAATTGAACTTTCTAGAGAAAGTCATGTGTCAACTACAGAAGCAGAGGAACAAGGAGTGTTTCCTCAGCAAGCTGTTATTTATGAAAAAGAGCCTGTAGCTGAGAGACATCTACATGAAATCCAGAAACTACAGGAGAGTATAAACAATTTGGCAGATAATGTTCAAAAATTTGGGCAACACCAGAAAACTCTGGTGGCTTCAATGAGAAGGTTTAGTCTACTTAAAAAAGAGTCTAGCATTACAAAGGAGATAAAAATCCAAGCAGAACTCATTAACAGAAGTTTGGATGATTTAATTAAAGAAGTTAAAAAGTCAGAAGCTGAAAATGGCCCATCATCAGTGGTCACAAGGATACTTCAATCTCAGCATGCTGCGATGTTCCGCCATTTTCAGCAAACCATGTTTATATACAATGACACAATAGCAGCAAAGCAAGAGAAGTGCAAGACATTTATTTTCCGTCAGCTTGAAGTTGCTGGAAAAGAGGTGCCTGAAGAAGAAGTAAATGACATGCTTCATCAAGGAAAATGGGAAGTCTTTAATGAAAGCTTACTTACAGAAATCAATATCACTAAAGCACAGCTTTCAGAGATCGAACAGAGACACAAGGAACTTGTTAATTTGGAGAACCAAATAAAGGATTTAAGGGATCTTTTCATTCAGATATCTCTTTTAGTAGAGGAACAAGGAGAGAGCATCAACAATATTGAAATGATAGTGAATAGCACAAAAGAATATGTTAACGATACTAAAGAAAAATTTGGACTAGCTGTAAAATATAAAAAAAGAAATCCTTGCAGGATATTGTGTTGTTGGTGCTGTCCATGCTGTGACTCAAAATAAAGAAGTTATTTTAGAAATTTTTCCATCTTTATAGTGAAAGTTGGCCTATATTTCAGTGTCTTATATTATTTTTCTTCAATTCATGGATCCATTCATGTCTTTCATCACTATTAACTTGTAATTTTTCCCTTTAATACTAACCCATTTAGAATTACAGAAACTTCTGAAGCCAGTTACATAAACCAAGTCTTTATTTAATCAAACTATAACATCATGGTTACCATCATCAACTCCCAGGTTAGCTACTGAAAATGAAATGAATGATCTTCAGTTTGTAGTTGGGTGTTGAGCTCTACATGTATTAAGCACTTTTCAAACTTTCAATGCTGTAACAAGATGAATGTGCACTTAAGTGATGACTACTTAAGCAATCTCTGTGGCTCATTTGAGAATATTTTGGTAGTTAAGAATCATATAAAATAAGACCTCAAAGTGTGCTATAAAAAAGCAAAGTAAAACTAGAATCTGTATCAAACCTTTTATCCTCAGGTAGGTAAGTTAACTCAG